GAAACGAAAAACGCGAAACGAAAAACGCGAAACGAAAAGCGGGAAACGAAAAACGCGAAACGAAAAACGCGAAACGAAGAACGCGAAACGAAAAACATGAATCGAAAAGCGGGAAACGTAAAACACAAAACGAAAAACGCAAACGAAAAACGCAAAACGAATAACGCAAAACGAAAAAAGAAAAACAGAAACGAAAAACGCGAAACGCAATACGCGTAACGAAAAACGCGAAACGAAAAACGCGAAACGAAAAACGCAAAACGAAAAACGGAATACGCAAAACGCCAAACGCAAAAAAAAAACGCAAAACGAAAAACGAAAAACGAAAAACCAATAACTTAAAACTCAAAAAGAAAAAGGAGAAACGAAAAACGGAAAATAAAAAACGAAAAATCGAAAAACGAAAAACGCGAAACGAAAAATTAAAACCAAAAAACAAAAAACCAAAAAACAAAACGCAAAACGCAAAACGAAAAACGAAAAACGCAAAACGAAAAACGCAAAACAAAAAACGCAAAACGAAAATCTCAAAACGAAAAACGCTAAACGAAAAACGCAAACGAAAAACGCAAAACGAAAAACGCAAAACGAAAAACAAAAACGAAAAAACGACTAATAACCTTTCACGGATTCCAATAAATGGCAGCGCAGGCCACTAGTTGGACTCTGTTATAGAAATGTATGAAACGTTTGTAGAGGAAATTAATAGGTGTCTGAATGCACAAACCTTTTTTTTTTCAGAGCTGACAAAAATTAGCTATGTGAGCACCATTTTCTACCGTCCCCTTCAATTCACCTCCATTACTACGTCTTCCGACTTCCACATTTCACTTCACTTTTTCCTCCTCTTTCAATCGCTTACAACCTTAGCCTTCTCCCATATCTCGTCTATCCGCTACCTCTGCAACCACAACCACCATCGGCGCAGCCGCAGCCTCGCCCAACAGGTGTCCGCTAGCCCACGTGTCCCTCCGCCCTCCGCGATGCGAATCTCGATGGCCCTTCGATTTCACGAATGCGAGGACACGGCGGGAGAACGCTGGGCTGCCCGCGCGAGGGGGGAGGAATGAGGCGGGGCACCCCCCGCCCGCCGCTTCGTCACGCATCTGTCATGCGGGGCCGCAAATGACAGCGCTGCGCAGCTGCATACATTACGCGCAAATGCGGTGGCCGCGCGCGTTGCTGATAGACTTGTCTCCTCAGCCGTCGAGCATTAACGCAGAATAGGAAGCGATTTGGGAAAAATGGAAAAATGATATTCGGAATGAGGTTTATTGTGGGTCTGGAAAAAGGAAATTGATTATCGGGAAGATTAACAGAATACAGTATGATGCGTTGCCAATATTTTATTTTCTTCTCAGACTACATTGCACTTTTGCACTAAGGGTAACGTTGTTACACTATCAAAGTTTAGAAAACTTGTTTTGAACACAATACAGAACTTGTAAATACTCATGTTCATAGTTTCTGTTTATTTTCTATTAAAAGAACAGACTGATGGTACGTTTAAATTATTGCGATACTGATACAGTATTAAAATTACGAAAAGGGATGCAACAAAAAGTAAGAATAAGAAAAAAATAAACAGGATAAAACTTTATAATGAGAACAAGACAGTAAAAATGGCTGAAAATAATGGTGAAATCAAAAGAAAGGGGAGATATAATTATCATCTAATTCGACAAAAGGGAATAGATATACAAAGATGATACCTCAGTCTCTTTGAGTTAATGTAAAAATTTAAACAAAACAACCAAACGATATATTGACTATTACGTGACAAAAACACTTGGATGATACATGTTGGAAAGACCTTAATAACAAGTGTGTATATACGGCGCAAAAAGCAAAATACGACTGTGAAATTCGAAATTGGTTCGCGCGCGCACACACACACACACATATTGTACACACACTTGCGCACACGCTCTTTGAAGTAACATCCACTTGACATCAGTAGCGTGAAATACTTTCGCAACAACGCTTCCGGCACGCGCGGGAGGCCGGCGCGCCAGTCGACACTTGACGCGCGCCGGTCACGTGGCAGCCCTCGCCGCCACGCGTCTCTCGACCTCCGCGTGCCGCCCGGGCATATGCCACGCGCCGCGGCCACGCGGCCCAAAGCAGCTCTGACAGCCACAATTACAACACACGCCCCCCAAGGGGCTGGCTGGCTCGATGCGGCAGGCGATGATAGATAAGATAGGGCGGTAATCCAGCCATGATACCGAAGGCGCATCCCGCTCAATAGGGGTTAATTGAGAATGACAATCCGGGAGGAGACTGTCTGGGGGGAGGAGCACGTGGCTGATGTTCACGATTGGGCTTTTCAAACACTTCGGGAAAGTATACGGAAGTTTCTAATCCGCCCGGGGTCCTTTCATGAGGTTGCAAGGTGGACTTACGAACAGATGAAATGACAATGAACTCAGGAACATTTATCGGAAGTAATGCTCACCATTAAGAATATATCGCATGATTCGTACATCATGTTACAGTACGGTTTAGTAGGTTTCATCTAATTGCCTCACCAAACGATATGACTCACAACACTTCTTTGATCGAAACTTTTTAAAGGAAAATATGAAACAAAAACTTACCAAACGTTTCTGAAATGTGTGTTTCTCATCTACCAAATTTTATCTTAAAATTCAGCGAATTACCTTTGCAACTAACTTTTCAAATTTTTTTTAGATAAGTAAGCATGACTTTCCCCAAACAATAAGAGATAATTATTAAAAGAAGTATTTTCTATGATCGGACGAAACAAATTATTCTATTGACGTTTTTGCCCGTTTAGAAACGTAAGTAAAACGTTTCTTGCTTGAAATGACGCAAAGAAAAAAACATTCACACCTGATTTTGATATAATCTTTTTCAAATCTTCTATCGAAAGACCGAACGATGGAACTAAAATATTCAAAAAGTAACTCATCTTTCTGTGATTCATCAATGACAAGAATTTAGCAGAGATAATATATGTTCTCAAACCCAATGGCGTAAAACCAAAATACTGGCGAGTAAAATAATGGGAATAAAGATAATTTGCATTATCGTTCGATAAAACATTCCTGAGATATCTGTTGAAATCTCAAATTTTGAAAAACAAGATCTCTGTTAAAATCTGAATATTGAAACCGCAAACTGAGAGGAAGGTCGAAGCCGGAATTCACTATCAAGCGTGGGAAGATTTCCAGCGAAAAACTGCACTATAGTTACTGGACTAATGACCTTAGCAGTTGACACGCCCGGAATCACTAATCAATAACTTCCTTTTATGTATATGAACAGAACATTATGCAAATAAAACACACATTTCAATTCATTTTCGAATTAAATTGGGAAAATAAAAAAATCAGAATCCCAAAACTTATATTTATTATCTTCATTGTGTGACATCTTCATTGTGTGACAGCGTGGCTGGAAGTACTACTTATTTATAAATTTTAAATCCCTAAATTATTTTTAAGACAGTAGAATTTGTATATATTAACATATCTCACATTTACTGCATTGTTGACTACATAACATTTTTCGTTTTACATCTCGATATTTCTTTCCAAGGTCTTCTTCAAGTTCTAGATTCCAAATTGAAGTAACGTACTTTTAGATGTGTAATTGACATTCACATATAATTACGTTAAAAATTGTTAATTCTCCTTAGTATTTATTGCATGAAGTTATATGCGGGGAGACATCGATAAACCGTAGTCCATTTGACGCCCACCACAGATCCAGGGAATCTTTTCCCCGCATGCGCCACCGTGGGTGTTCCCTGTTGCACACTGTGTGTTGCTCACTCTCTCTGCCAAATGCCTGTGTCAGTTCCGAGCTGACGTTGGAAGAACGTTAGATCCTTACTACAGGACATTGCCACACTGATTTAATTTTATCGGGCACCTGACACGATTATTTCACATGCCACAAGCCACTGTAGCATGGCCACTGTGGGATTTTAACCCTTCCAAAAACAAACGCATCTCAGACGGGATCGAGGGCAGGAAGCTAACCACTCTTCTACTGAGGTCTTAAGCAGAGGTACACGACGTAAGAGACTTCCGTTGGCGCGCGCAGTTTGAGATGAGGCGAAATAACAAAATACTTTCATTTTTCAGTCGAAATTTACATGCCATTGTTTTGTTTTTTCCCGAGATCCTGGGTATTTAACAAAACCACTGACATCTCTCACATGACCAGAGACTGCTTAGTTTTCTGTTCATTTCTGTGAGCATACGGAATTAGTAATATGGATTTTACGAAAAGTGATTTTGATGATTTTCGTCTCCTATATTATTTCTTTTTGTGACTCTCATATGCAATCTTTATAAATGAGGTCTCTAAAGAAAGAGAATTTCATGGAGTGACGAATTGCAGTTTGACTTAAAAGATTTGACGGATATGTTTAAAAAAAGCTTCCAAATATTCATGCCAAGTGCAACCCGCATCACCCAGTAATACATTTCGTTAAATAACTCTCTTAATAACTAACTTAAACTCGAAGCGTTCTAAGGCCTTAAAAACTAAAATTTTGAGGCCAAAAACCACAAGGAAACATTCCTCACATCGTAATTTACAAGAAGGTATATTCTTGGACATTCTATTGAATGTTTACTGATTCGGCACTTATCGATACTATAAATGCCACCGAAATTTCCACCCTTAGTGATGGACATCTTTGTGACGTCACGCTTACAAGTCTGGTTTGCGAAGACTGACGCGGTACCTTATTTGCATAATTGGTCATTCAAGAGGTAAGATTCAAGGTAATTCGCTCCCGTAGTAATAACTGGAAATGCCATTAAAAATTGCGTTCATTAAGTGATATGGTTTATTCAGTGGGCACATCTTTAAAACAAAACCTCTATTAAGCGTCCACCTTTTACTCATATCACTGAACTAAGACCCATAAATTTGACACTGAATGTTTTCCTCGGGAAGCTCAGAAAACAGTTTCAAATAAAAATGTACTTTTAAAAAATATAATGTTAACAACCAGGCAGATGGACATTCAGACCGATACATCCAGTTGCAGCGAAATCAGTTCATCACCTCGAACTGGATCACAGGTGAGGTGAGTCAAGATATTACCTGATCAGGAGCTCAGGTTTCTAGTCCCAACTGGTTAGATAGCTAGGTGGGCTGCTCTAAAACTTACGTTTTCCATGGTTTCTCCTACCACCACCAAGCGAATTCCTGAGCAGTGTCCTAACACACAGTCCAAGGACCGCGCGCGATCTTTCCTTCCTTTTTCTTGTTCTTCCTGCTCCTTACGTACACTCACACTTAAATGGGCTACCGCAAATATCGGAGGTTAGAACTTGTTCCGGATGGGAGTGGCCCGTTTGGGGAGTTATCTGGATGCCGACATGTATGTCGGCGCCGAATGTCTCCAAGGGAAGAATCCGACAAGGGAAGAAAACTCCACATGTCATGGTAAAAACATGCACTTCACTTACGGGACTAATTACATTAGCAGTTGACTAGTTCAAAAATACAAAATAATGAATCAATCAAACGAAGATTTTTAATTTTCAAGTATTCTGTTAACGAATGTTTATTTATTTAATTCGTATCAAGTATTATTAGTTACTTGAATGTTGTTTTCTTTACATTTCATGAAATTTCTGTATAAGGTATTTGATACGTTTTGCACTTCGTCTTTCAAAACAATTTGGGTAATGATTTTCTATTATTTTTTAACTTTCATTCTCATTTCCCTATTTTATATCACTGTCCCAATACTTTCTCGCATACTGCATACGTAGTACACACAACGTGATGTAAGCCTGTGAGGCAAAATAGAGATTTTTGGAAGAAAATTCGTATTGTAGGTTCCTGATTCCGAAAAAGTGAATAATTTTTGTTCCTATATATACCAAATTACTTACTCGAAACTGTGAAGAAAGATCAAAGTTTTGTGGGTCTGAAACCCATAAATTGATTTATGGCAAAATGTCAATCCGCCCGTCTGTCTGTGAATAAGCATCTAAACCGTAAATTTGATTTTCACACAAACTGATATTCCTCAGTGACGCGGCCTCTTCATGTTGCGGTCAGGTATTCCGATTTCGTTGAATTCTCTGAATTTTAGAAAATTGCAAGAGTTTAACATGTTTCCAGCGTTTTCCTACAACTATCAGTAACTATTTCTACATGAAATCTGTACTTCAAAATTAGCTCTCTAAATGGCGTCAACTACACTTTGTTCAAAAGATGAGTAGTTTTGCATGAAATAACGGCAAGATTCTATCGAAAACGTGCATTTTTTTAAAAACTTTTCGTATGCATAGTGCTAAATGCTCTGAATAACATGTTACCAATGCTATTTTAATACATTCTATTGTTTTTTCGACTATTCTATTGATTTTTCCAAAATTACACAAATACATGTATTTAATTTATCGCTCTCCGCCATTTATATTAAAGGCGTTTTTATACGTTATTGCATTTGTGAATAAGGAAAATATTGTAAGTATTTTCAGAAACGTTTAAGCGACATTTTATCAAATACGAATCCTTTTTTTTCTTGAAACTTTTGGTACAGATAATGCTAGATACCCTGGCCTTTTCATTAAAAGGTAGTGAGAATACAAGAGGATTAGTGAGCTCTATATCGATAATAAAGTTTATGATATTGAAATTATGTGAAATTATAATAATGTAGTATTTTTGTATTAATGTAGTATATAGTAGTAGTACTATCTGACAAAAATTACAAATGAGTAATTCCTTTGACCTTGAGATTTTATTTTCCCCAAATGAAGCTAAGGAACTAAATGCATTAAAACCTGCATTAGAGTCCCCCTCTTTCCAATACTTCATTTTTTATTAATGTTTACGATTACCATTACGTAGTTTACAAGAGATGGTAGACCAAGTTGAATCTGCAGATAATGAATTTCTGTATTTCCCAATAATCCCCGCGTTCGTCGGGCGTTGCCATCGGCGCCCCGTTCACGCTGCAACCAATTAGCTACGCACGCGTTGCACGCACCACAAGCGGCGATCAACCCTCGCCACCCCATAAGCAACCCGCGCCACTTGCGCCCCAGCAGCCCCCATCTGGAGGACGCTCTCCGTACTTCGCCAGCCGGCCACTGGTCGCGCCACCGCCGTGCCACTACCACCACCAC